TTGATGATTCCTAGACAATCTAAAAAACACATCCGATTTTCAACAATTTTTTTTTTTATATTCTTTTCATCATATTTTAATACTAATTATCCTATTCCTAACGAATACAAATCCAAAGACATAAAAATTTTAATACATTTATAAAAAATGTATTTACAACTACACTGGTTTCATTTATAATAATATGTCAATATGATGGGTTTAAAAATCGAAAGTAACAATTATAAATATTTGAAATCGATTTCCATTTAAAAAACTTTTAAATTAAGGCAAAACTATCAGCCCTAGTTATAGGCATCCGTATATCATTCGAAAGAGAAAATTTTTGTAATTTAATATTTCATTAATATACAGAGTGTTCCATTTAAAATAAGCCTTATATTACACATTGAATAATCCAATAATGAAACTACAAATTTTGAACACACTGTAAATAAATGTTTAATAATTAATCATGAAATACATTCGATCAATATCCAGCTATTTAGATGTATGAGTAATTTTATTAGAATTGCTTAAATAAATTAAGAATGAGTTTTACATTTTAAGAAAATGCAACATAACTCATAACACTATATACATAGGTATAGGGAAGTCTTATGAAACTATACCTTATTTTTTGCAAACAATTAGAAAATCCAATAAAATACGGGGTGTTCCATAAGAAAAAATATAACTTTCAAACGCCGCGCTTTATTGTGACACCCTGTATATTTCAGAATAACTTTAAAATGTACCCTTTATCAATCTACATAGTATACATTTAAAAAATTTTCAAAATCTTTTACCGTTTTGCTGTAACTTTCTGTCTCGTTAATGGTGACTCACCCTGTATAAAGTACAAAAAAAATTGTTAAAAATGTCATTTTTAGCATTCTAGGCGGTAATATTACCTTAATCTTCATTTAGAATTAGATAAAACTTGGTTTTAGACCGAGAACATATTTTTTATTAAACTCATATTTTGCTATAAAGCATCATATTCATAATCAACCTATCTTCAAATTGGAATATGATATTGGGGTATATGTATGCTGGAATGAACTGATTTGTATGAATGGAATAACTGCTTTTAAAAGATATTCTGAACAGTATTTAAACATAAATCCAAGTGCCAAACCAAACTAATCTAATGATTTTGTTCTTTGGGAAAATCGTCATCTAGGTTTGACCTTTTGAAGAGAACCTTAAGCAATGCGAATGCGGATACACATCTCTAATGTACACAGATATTGGTAACAGAACAAGAATAAGTAAAAGAAAATACTTTTTCGAGAGTTTGAGTGTGTGTATGCAAAGTTTAGTAAATTTATTAATTACCCCAGCCTATTTCTAGGTACGATAGACCAAGTTTTGAAGAAACTGCAAGTTTTTGTTGTGATGGCGGCCACAAGCACGTACGTATTCGGATTTGTTTACCATCTTCTCTTACAGTATTTATTTATCTAGAAAACACTACATAATCATAGAAGATTGCACCATACTATCAGTCGTTATATTAAATTTGAATCTACCTCTTACTGGATTTGTAATAATAGCCACCTTTTTACTGAATTTGTATCAACAAATATGGTTTCAAAATTCCGGTGGCATTGAATTATTTATTTTGTATTCCCACCAAATGTTTTATTTGCCCTATATAATAGCAATTTTTGTTTAAAGTTTGTGTTTTAGTCTTGTTTTGCTCTATCTCTCTCATGACATACAGTGTGCAGTGATATCTCGCCTCGTTAAGACTTAAGCTGTCTAATCGATAAATTTATCATTATGGTTTCACGCTTGTCATTTTTTGAAAATCGTTTTTATGTGATAAGTACTTTGGTGGTCTGAAAATTGTTTGACACGATAGCAAAAATGACAATTTTTGCCTTCAAAGAAATGTTCTTTATCGACATATTACTCTCTTATAACAATGCATTTCGTTGTGTCGTTATGAATTTTTAGTATAATTCCACCTGGTTGGACGAATAATTACCTGGGCATATACTCTTCTATCTTAGCCTTCTTGTGAAACTAACGAAGTTTCATGGACTTTTTTTATTTTTTATTAAAGCCACTGTACATATTGATCACCATTCTCTGTAATTTCTTTTTGTTTTTCTAATAATAATTTTAGTGCATCATGGATTGGCTTTTATACCCTTGTACTTTCCTGGACATCTAACGCTGTTTGCTGGTATCTTTGGATTAACCTAAACGTGGTCGTCATTTTCGAGTAAGGGCTCAGTATATTCCCTTTTTGATAAACCGTTAATTTTGATAAATTATTACTACTTTTGGATATTTTTAGTATAAATTAAATATATCAGTTGCACAAGAAGTTTTCCATTTTCTTGTAAGCTTTGCTTAAACTATGGTATACAGCCAATCACCGAGATTTTTTCCTTTATAATTTTTTTTATCTCTTGTGAGTCTACATTTCCGTGCTCTATGTCCAATCTGTATTTGATTTTTGCCTAAGATTTTGTAAATTGTGGTCCCATCGTTTTTATTTTAGTTGACTTGGCAAACTTTTACTATTGTTCAGACTTTTTGGCAGCTTATAGTTTTCAAGATCTTTGTCTGATCTATTTTCTTACCACTTTTTATATAGTTTTCTTTTACCCTTAATTTTTTCTTGGACTTAGTTTGACCAGCAACAGGTCGCTTTACTCCCAAACTTTTTACTCTTTCCTGAGGTTTTCTAAGCATTTCAATAGCAGTTTCTTTAATAATACTAGCTAAATACTCATCCAAATTGTATTAAGACTTTCTTTTATGTTGCAGTACAATGTTTCTATTATTTTTTTCTGAATATCCCCCTTTCTCATTTCTTAACATCTACCATTTGACTTTTTGTGGTCCTTTCTGATATTTTGGTTTTATTTCGTCATTTTCTTAAGTTCCAACCTTACTATTGTTCAATCGTTTTAATATGGTATGGCAACACAAACTTAATATTGTTGAATTTTCTTCATTAATCAGGGATTTAAAGACTAAAACCCTTGCTATACCAAATTTTATTGTTTTTTGTCCAGACGTCCAGAGGCCTCTCCCAATTTGGTCCATTCGTGTTTTATGCAAATAGTTTCTTCATTGGTTCAGTCGTTCGGTGGTTCTTTTAATGTTAATGCTTCATCGCATTTCCTATCTTCCACTTGTTTTTTTTTTATTAAGAAGGTTTATTAGTTTCCTATTTCCTTGTTTTTTATTTCATCATCGAGGATTCTAGTGTATACAACATATCTTCACTCCAATGTTGTTGCTTGTTGGAAATCCTTATTTACTTTTTGTTCTGCTTCTGTTTGATGTATTTCTGTCAATATTTCATGTTCGCGCAATCACCAAGTATCTTCCTCTTCCATTTATACACAATCATCTTTCAGCTACCGTCAAGTCAACAATGTCACTGTTAATCTTTTTAGAACTAATTCTTATAAAAGTCTCAACAATCAAATTATCCATTTAATTAAATAATTTAATACATACTTGGTAATTAATATTGCAGTGCATTTTCTAGATAAATTTTGACAACAAAACACGATATTTTAATTTATTTAGCCTTAAATCATTTCTCTGTTTGTATTTGTGTTAATTAGATATATAAAAGGAATATACTTACAGTAGATCACTTTTCTTTATATGGGTTCATTGTTCTAATTTTTGATGTTTTCTGAAGTACTAAAACATTTTTTTTTTTTTTTGGAATAATACATTAAATATCAAACCTATTTTGTTTTTCTCGACTATATTTGTCCAGCTGTATCCCAATACCACTATTTATAGTTGATTCTTTCGGTTTCTTGATGGTTATGACCATGTCCTAACCATCTTAACATATGCTTTCTCATTTTGGCATCATGTAGGACCACTCCTAGACTTTCCCTTATATATTCATTCTTAATATTATCTTTTTTTGTGACTCTACTCATCCATCTAAGCATTATTTCCGACATATGCATTCGTTGTTCCTCTTTCTTTTTAACTGTTCAACATTTAGTTCCGTATTTCTTCGCTGGCACTTTTATAGAATTTTTCCATTGGTTTAATAGATATCACCCTAATTCCTGTAATACCGATCGTATGTACCTGAAATTATTACTTTTCATAATTATTTCACCATCCAAAATTTTTTTTATAGTAACTGCATCTTTAAAATTCACGTTCCAAATATTCTGTTTTTGTCTTACAAGTTTTAAACCTTTTCTTTTTTATTCTAAATCCATTTCAGTATTTCCTACTTACACTACATTATCAGCATACATTAAGCACCAGGGAATGTAACCTGGTACTTGCGCTGTTACCTGATCCAACAATAATGAGAATAAGGACTAAACACCGAGTCCTGGTGCAATCCTACTTTCACATGAAATTTGTGTCTCCCACACCTGTCCCAACACTAGTTGTGACTTTATCATACATGTATCTCACAATCTTCACATATTCACCAGGAACTCTTTTCTTATCGAGTGTCCACAACACAATCTCTTGATTTTCTATCATATGCTTTTTCAAGATCAATGAGTATCATATAAGCGTTTATTTTCTTATTCCGAATGAGATATTTAATGAAATTCTTAGTTCTCTTTTTAATTACATCATTAGTTGTCACAAATTTTGTTTTTCGAACATTAGCTTCAATATAGCTATTTCTAACAGTGGTTTAAGGATATGTATTATAAAATTTGCGCCATCTATCGAAATCTTAATTAATATCAAGTTGCCATCGTATAAATTTATGTTCCAAAGTTGATATTTAGCTCAAAACATTTCGTATAAACATTTTGTACAATTCTTGACCATACTATCAAACCAATTGTAATATTCAAATTAATTAACATACAGAAATAGAATGGAAACTACACAGAGGAGTGCATTTATAGGTATTAGAGAGAAAATGGTACACAAATCAGATAGTTCTTTAAAATTGTAGAAGGTTAAAACAGTAAAGAATTAATAATTTATCAAAAATGTTTTTCTATTTACTAATTGGCGTTTGTGACGCCCTTTTGTGATTTCAGGTGGGAAGACGCCGGATTTGCAAACCAGAAACTACTCCCAGATTATGAAAGAGCAGTTGCTAAAAGGAGAAGAAGCAGAGGTATGTACATTTTCCGTTTTCTTCAAATACATTTATACTAAAACAAATTATCGTTGCACTGTTCACTTTGTCCATAAGAATTATTAATGAAAGACAACTATTGATCTTGCAAAACTGCAACTCTCTATTTGTAAAAAAACTGTTTGAGATTATTTCTTTTAAGTTTGTGATTTAGATTTTTTTAAAAAATGAAATATGATAATCAAATTATATTTTTCGATAGTCTCTCTATACAGGCTCTCGTTTTCCACGAGCTCATCTATTTAATCTCAGAACTATCTTCTTGATCTTTCTTCCTTAAAGCTTAGTTTACATGTGTCGAGTAGCCGTTCAAGTTACTTGTACAAGTAACTTTAATCAAGTATTCAAGGTTGAAGGGCATTCAAGTAAAGCATTTACGCTATTCAAGTAAATTCAAACTGAACTTGAACAAAGGTTCAGAAAAGAAAAAAAATGAAGCGAGAAGATCATCTGTTTCAGCACCAGACTTTTTATGTTTTGCAATTTTAGCACGTTCCTGCGAATATATCGTGTGCAATTTTTTTATTTTATTCTCCACATCTTTAACACCACAATCATCATTTTCATTTTTTGTTCTATTTTATTAATATGAATCTCTCATTTGTTTATTTTTATACTGGCTATTAGATAAATCTCAAGGACATGTATGTTCTTTGTACAACTCCACAAACTTCAATGTTGTCTACTCATTCCACTTCATATTTTTTTAATAAAATTCAAATTCAAAAATTTACTTTACACGACCAATTCAATTGACAGCAAGTAGTATTTACTTGAACGACTGTTTACATGAAGCAAGTGTGAGGTAGGCCAAGTATGGTCCCACCACCACTGCGTTCCGTGATGGGAGGCGCCTTCTTGAACAAGTAAGTTAGATGGCTTTAAACTTACTTGATTTGCTTGGCTACTTGTTCAAGTTCTTGATCAAGTGCTTGAAGATTTGTCTACATGATTCAAGTTACTAGTTTTCAGTTCTTGCTCAAAATACTTGAACAGCTACTCGACTCATGTTAACCTTACTTAAGAGATCTATTCTATTACTGTGGAATCGGTCAATTGTGGTCTGCCTGGTTTATTTGAGCATAACCATTCATTGTATTAAATTTAATGATTTTCTTTGTATATTTTTTGTCATATCTTGTCTGTGCCCATTTTGTTCTTTCTTTTTCAGTTTTCTAGCTTGTAATATGACATGCAAGATATTTTGTTTTGCGTTTATTAATATGCCTTTAGTATTATAAATTTATTTTATTTTCACATTTACTCTTTTCCAGATTCGCAAACAACTTATTGAGCGAGCAAAGGATGGCACTTTAAAAGCTACAAACGGCGAGGCCAAGTCAGCTCCAAAGAAGCGCGGAAGATGGGATCAGACGGTAGATGAGGTCGTAATACCTCAGAAGAAGAAAACTTTGTCGGTTCCTCCTAGCAGTAGTAATGCTGCTACGCCCGTGTGGGAAGGAGACGTAAGTTTGTATCTTATTTTAATCTGTTTTTCACAATAATGTTAAATTAACTGTATTTTAATTGAGAAAGCTATGTGCTAATTATAAGAAAACTTCTTCAAGTGTCTGTTCTTCTAGTACGTCCACGGTACAAGGAATTTTCATGAAAATTGTTATTGGTGAAAGATTTTTTTTATTACATTTCAGGAATGTTATTGACTGATTTATCTCGATCAATTTTCGAATTAACTTATAGTTGTAGTTCGTTTCAGGACAAATTTCGTGAGGGTCGTAAAAAATTTGATGTACCATAAAATATTATATCTTTTATTAAACTCGCGGTCCGAATTATTTATACTAAAGATTATTTATTCTTAAGATTAATGAATACCATATGAACGTTTTTTTCCTTATTCCTGTATTTTTCCATCAACTGCATGACATAATTAGATAGCTAATTGGTAGAATTTCCGCTTTTGGCATTCTCATGTAATCAGTTAATATAGTTCTAAATAAACATTTTACAACAATCTTCTTCTTCTTCCTTCTTGTATGTAGGCTTTGAAGCCTGTTTCTTCTTCAATATTAGCCTCCTGCATGGATTAAATTATCGCACCATATTTTTCTTGGTCTGCCAATACTTCTTCGTCCATTTGGTAACTTATCTCGTGCTATTCGTACTATCCTATCCTCTGCCATTCTACTAATGTGTTCGTTCCACTCCTGTTTCCGTTTTGTCACCCATTCATTTATGTCTTCTATATTCCATGCTCTTCTTATGTTTTCGCTTCTCTCACTATCACTGATATTTGTCGGAGTATTTTTATCTCGGTTGTTTCTAGTAGTCATCTCGTTTTAAATGTGTCAGGACTTGTCTCCTCCGTGCATGTAAATATCGGTCTAATTGCTTCTTTATAGATTCTTGTTTTTGTGTCTTGCCTTAGGTGCTTGTTCTTCCAGATTTTGCTATTAAGAGATCCCGCCGCTTTACTTGCTTTTAAGCTTTGTTGTATTTCTTCTTCAACATCTCCGTAACTAGTTATACCTATTCCCAGATATCTAAACCTTGCTTCCTGCTTTATTATTTTCCCATCCATTTCGATTTTACATCGTAGTGGGTATTTAAATGTTGTCATACATTTGGTTTTTTCTGCTGACATTAACATATTGTATTTCTTGGCTGTTGTATTGAAGATATGTGTTAATCTTTGGAGCTCGTCTTCTGTCTCGGCGATTAATGCAGCGTCGTCTGCATAACATAATATTTGGATTTCCTTGTTCTCCATTCTGTAACCATAACCTTTACGCACTGCTTGTATTATTTCATCCATTATTATATTAAAGAGAAGCGGGCTTAACGAGTTACCCTGTCTGATTCTGCATGTCTGATTGGCATGTTTCTTTTATACAGTAGGTGTAAGATGTCTTCGACTTGGATGTGATAGAAAGCCTGTGTCAGGTCTATAAAACATAGATATGCTGGTTTATTGTACCCGATGGCCTTTTCTGTGACTTGTGTTAGTACAAATAAGGCGTCTACGCAGGATCGTCCGGGTCTGAATTCTTGTTTTTCATCTGATAAAGTTGTTAGTTTATTGATTTTGTTGGTTGGGACTTTTGCGGTAAGCAACCCTTTCGCTGCGGACGACGCACATGTGCGGCGTAGCGAAGTTGAGCCATATGCGGACGACGCACATGTGCGGTGTCTGTACACTTAAATTATAATCATATTTTCTGAAAGTAGCATAGCATATAAGTTTATAGAATTTTATCAGCATATTGCTAGATATTAAGCCTATTATTAGACAACTTTCGTTTCTCGTTATGATTTTTATTTTACACTCGAGATGGCATCCCGTTTAAGGAATGTAAAAATTGAGTATTCAATGTTTTTTTCGATTATAATTTAATTTTTTTTTTCGATAGAACAATGTGTTATATACTCACGGTCTGTAAACATTATATTGAAATGGCAGATTTAAGTAAACCTGGACCTTCTAGTACAAAAAAGTAAGATTATACAAGTGAGAAATCCTAATAAGTTAACAGTGGAAAACATTACGTTGGTATAAAAAAATAAGTTTGCGTATCATTCAGTTATTACTTATTAATTCTCATATCCTATATAATAAATTTTATGGCAAAAAGAAAACACTGAGCAAGTTTAGACACGAGATCTTAGAAAAGTTGTTATCAGAAGTTCCATCTCCAGGAAAAGAAAGGATACAAAATGTTGAACACACACCTTCAAAAATTGATGTCATCTACGAATGCGGTAAAACTTTAAGAAAAAGATGCCAAATGTGTTCTACCAAAAAGATACGAAAAGATAGTATTTACAATTGTCTAGAATGTGAAGGAAAAGCAGGACTTTGCCTAGGAGTATGTTTTCAGGAATACCATAGAAAATAATAGACTCCATATTTTGTGAAATCTATTTTTATTTGTTGCATATAAACATTAAACTTTCCCTAAAAAAATAGTTTGCAATCACTTCGTGGAGACCCATATGTGCGGCTTCCGCATATTTCAATGAAATCATTCATATATGCTGATGCCGCGCATGTGCATCTAGAAAAAAAATTTATGCAAACCTACAAATATGGTTTTATAGAGTCTTAATAACATAAAACTAAACTTGTATATATAAATATTTTCATTTTTAAGAGAAAAAAGTGAGCCGCACACACGGTACCTACTAGTAATTTCTGTCGCAGCGAAAGGGTTTTAAATGCGGTGTTCTGTAGATTTATACCTCTATAATTGTTGGGGTGTTCTTTACCTCCTTTCTTGAACATTCTTATCTTTATGCTGTTTCTCCATGCGTCTGGTATCTTGCAGTGCAATATTAGTTTTTGTATAAGTTTTGTCATATCTAGGGTTATACTTTCTCCTCCTTGTTTTATAAGCTCGTTGGTCATTCCATCTGGTCCCGGTAACTTTCTATTTTTGAGCGAGTTTATGGCTATCTCTACTTCTTGAAAACTGATTTCTATTTCGTGTCTTGATTCAGGTGTGTTATTGTGTTGATTATTATTTTCCTTTTCGTTAAGGGTATCTTTCCCTTCCGTTTGCTGGTATGTTATTGTATTCCTTCAGTTCTGTCATTTCTTTCTGTTGGTTTCCTATGAATCTCCATATTTGTTTTTGTGTACTGTAGAAGCCGCTTTCCATTCTTTTTGTAAACTGTTCCCAGTGTTCATTTTTTGTTCGACTTATTAACTGCTTTATTTCATTTCGTATTCTTCTATAGGTGTCTCAGGATTCTGGAGTATTTGATGTTTTGTACTTCGTCTAGGCCTCTCGTTTCTCTTTTATATCTTTTCTGAACCATGGTGTATTGTTGTTGTTTCTTTTGTTCAGTATGACTTTGCGTTTTCCTACAGCTTCTGTTGCTGCTTCTTTAATGTGGTTTTTAATTTTCTCCCAGCTCGCGTTTATATCTTCGATGTCGTCTATTTGTTTCAGTTGTATCTTCTGTGCTAGCCACCTTTGGTACATTTTTCTTGTAGAGTCGTTCCACAGTGATTCTACATTAAATTTTTCCTCGGTGAAAATGTTTTGATGTTATTTTCATTCTTATTTTTGGTAGTACTAGTTTGTGTTCACTTCCTGCGTCTGCTGAGTTTAAAGCTCGAGTATCTAGAATCTGCTTTGGGTGGATTTTTCTATTAGTAACTATAAAATCAATCATAGATTTGTGTCCCCTGGAGTTTTCAAATGTATACTTATACTGGAGCTTATGGTTGAAGAATGTATTATTCATTCCCAGTTTTTTACAAGAATGTTTTATGTTTTTCTTAGAAAACACCATCAGATATCCGCTGGGATGAGACGCCTGGTCATAAAGGAAGCGAGACTCCCGGCGCAACCCCCGGTCAGTCCACCAGAATGTGGGACGCTACCCCCGGTCCCGCAACACCGGGCAGAGAAACTCCCGGACACGGCGACAAGAGTACATCTAGAAGAAACAGATGGGACGAAACTCCCAAAACGGAACGTGAAACTCCTGGACATTCCAGCGGTTGGGCCGAGACGCCGAGAACTGACAGAACCGGAGCGGACCTCATACAAGAAACTCCCACTCCGGGTGCTTCTAAAAGAAGGTCTCGATGGGATGAGACACCATCAGCGACGCCGTCACAGGTGATGACGCCTGGAGCTATGACACCCACGACACCTCATGGTAAGTTTAAAGTCTTATCTATTTCCAGAAGAAATCACATTTTAAAATTCATTGTCTATTTGACATAAATCACTTAATAGCATATTTTAATTCATCTCCAAATACCAAACCTGTCCACTATTGGTATTTGTTGTATATATGAATGATTGATCCTTTGGAAAAAAGGTAATAGATTGAATAGTGAAATGATAAGATGTTATAGATATGTAGATGGTGGTGGATGGAGTGAAGATTTCAGAGATACACAATTACCTATTTATATATATTACCTATTAACTACCATAGTATTAATTACCATATAAAACTTATAATACAACGACAGTATAAAGCATTTTTACTTTGCTTCAGGTTTTTCATAGTATTTGTTTTTTAATTTTCAATATTTTTATTATATCAACCATTTAGACTACTATAATGTATTAATGGATATTATATAAGTGAGGGAGTCGAAGAAATCTGGGCAAGAATTAAGTCTATCTTAACCTTGGCCAAGGAAGTTCTTGGTGAAAGAAATATAAATAAAAATAAATCGTTTCCAAGGTGAAGAATTCCATGATTTTGTACAGAAGTGAAGGAAAAATGTAAAGAAAAGAAAAAAAGCATACCTGAAATACAATTATCAACAAATATCAACCAAAACACAAGAGGCATTACGAGACAATCAGAAACGAAACACATGCACTTGTAAGAATAATAAAAAATGATCACTGGGAACGCTTTTCAAAAGAAATGGAACATGATTTTTACGGTCTACAAAAGGAAATATGGCGCTTCATAAGAGGTCAAAGAACGAAGGTAAAGGAACTAATAGAACAAAAACACATAGAAAAGGATACATGGATTGACTACCTAAAAAATCTCTATGCGGAGAAAGAACAAACAAAGTTCGTAAAATACTTGAAAACCTGAAGAACAGAAAAGCAGCGGGTAAAGACGAGATATCAAACGAATTACTGAAATATTGTGAAGCAGCAATGACAGAACAACTAACAACATAAATTAATAAGATTATAAAACATAATAAAATACCGGAAGAATGGAGAACGAGCGAACGAATTCTATTATTAAAAAAAGAAGATAATAAACAGCCGAAAAACTACAGAGGTATAAATTTGTTAAATACTATGCTAAAACTAAAATTTTACAAGTGCTAATAAATCAGAGGATGAAGTTTAGCAGATGAACGACAGGTTTTTCTGAGTGGAAGATTATGTACAGATGCAATAGACGTTATTAAGCAAATTACTGAGAAATCACTAGAATATGGTAGACCAGCATTTCTATGTCTGATTGACCTAAAGAAAGCGTTTGACAGAGTAAGACTCAAAGATGTAATCCATCTTCTGTATGATAGATAAGTTTCCCTAAATATTATAAAAACTTTCGAAACCAGCTACCAAAACAACAAGGTAGAAGTCAGAATATATGGACAACTTATAGAAACTATAGAAATAGGCAGCGGAATAAGACAAGCGGATTTATTGAGCTCCATGCTTTTCAATTTAATCATGGATGAAATCATCAAAAGCGTTGACAAAGGAAGAGAATTCAGAATGGGAAACAAAGAAATAAAAATGCTCTGTTACACAGACGATGAACTATTGATAACCCAAAATGAAGATAGTCTGCAAAGACTGGTCAACAGATTTAACATAAGTACAAAAGAATTTAAATGACAATCTAATCTCATGACAATTTAGAAAGTCAGTGTAAGACTAATAATGACACGTGCCTCAGAAACAAGACCCGACACAACCGCAACGCAAGGGCTACTGGAATCGGCAGAGATGAGAGTACTGAGAAGAATGACAGGAAATACGCTGAGATATCGAAAGAGAAGTGAAGACATTAGAAGATAACGTAACGTACAGTGTATAAATGAAGGGCCCAAAATAGAAAAAAGAATGGAATAACCACATAAGCAGAATAGTATAGACCCGTGTCGTCGAAATAGCAATTGATGTCACCAATCGTCAGAAGTGTCGGACGATCGCGCAAAAGATGGAGTGACAATCTTCCATAGAGGTATTAATCCGCCAATGAACAAGCAGAGTTGCTTATAAAAAGAGGAAGAAGAAAAAGTATTAATGGATATTAGGGAAATGTAACAATAAATAAACACTAAAAATGTAATACAACCAAATATGACAAGTGACGCCACGTGACTACCTAAAAGTTAAGTAAGCTAACAAATGTCATCAAATGGGAGAACCCATGCGCAGCAGATAAAATAACGAATTAAAATGGGATTTAAAAGAAAATAAAAATAAAATAATAAAATTGTAGACATTTATTTCTAGAAAATAGAGCTATTTACAACAGCAAAATTTGAGCTATCTAAAAACAAACTGTTGCTATGATATTTAAACAGGTAATAGGGTAATATCTTTAAAGAACTATAATTATGTTAGGAAGCATTTACAATAAACAAACTACTTGTATATTTAGGTACCCCACATGCCACTCCAAGTCATGGAAACTCCACCCCTATGTTAACTCCTGGAGGTAGCACTCCGGTCGGTTCCAAAGCCATGGGCATGTCGACGCCGACTCCAGGCCATCTAGCATCGATGACACCCGAGCAACTTCAAGCCTATAGATGGGAAAGAGAAATTGATGAACGTAACCGACCTTACTCAGACGAAGAGTTGGATGCAATGTTCCCTCCAGGTTATAAAGTTCTTCCAAGACCTGCTGGATATATTCCTATTAGGACTCCAGCCAGAAAATTAACCGCTACTCCCACTCCGATGATAGGCGGTACACCGACAGGATTTTTCATTCAACAGGAAGATAAGAGCGCTAAGTATATGGATAATCAGCCAAAGGTAAGATTTTGTATTGGTCGTTAGTAATTTTTATATTTATAGCCGAGGACTAAAGTGAAATTCACACTGAGAGTGCAGTATGCTTTAGATAGGAATGCATATTTGCCAGATTTCACGTCATGTGCTTGGCAGCCCAAACAGGTATTAGTAGTGATCAAGTACAGAACCGTGCAAAGATCTTTACGGCGGGGTTCTATTTACTTACCGAATCTCTCTTTATGGGACTGATACGATGCATTGTACATTACAATGGCATTCCTACGACCATTATTTGGTAAATTTGGTATTAACGTCTCTTTACACCAAGACTCAAAATATGCAGTATCCATTTCATCGTGATAGTCTTAGAGGTTATTATATGCTAATTAGGACAAACATGTTTATGGCCATATGTGGCTGATTATGTTAAGATAGTAATTTGCAGCGGAACTTTTACAAAAGAAGTGTTACTCTTACTAATAATATTCAATTTTGCATACATCATGCATTATTTGTTATCAATTTAATCTGCGTGTTTTATATACAAAATTCATATTTTTCGTTGTCAATAACTCGTCAAAATGCTTATGTATTTCCAGGAATTATTAGAATTCATTGATTTTTTGTCTAATTTCGTAAATCTACCTTCAAACTATTCGAGCTTTGTATAAAAGAATCGCTACTTCAAGTACAAAATATTCCAAAAAAAATTACTATTTTCCAAACTATTTATACATTTCGTGGACTATTCAAGTATTACAACTTTTACAATGCTTTTTTATTCTACTTCATACATAATAGACATTATTATACTTGTACTGTCGGGAGATGCATTTTATTCAAGCCGGTCCTGTGCGACGCTGTTGAGTGAGCAATCAACATTGGGCCGTCTGTACGCTTATTCTCCAGAAGAAAAGCATATTATTAATAATAAACCTGTATTAGCCGTACTGCACTCTCAGGGGAAATTTCACTATAGAAGTTTAAAATCGTTAAAACTTTTTATATTATTTGACCATACAAGTTATATAAATCACTTATTACAAGTAATATATTTAGAATTGTCGACTCAGTCAGGTCTCGGACCTAACTTAATAATTCAGGAGGTAACATGCTAACCAGCTTATTTCCAACCAACCAATAGGAGCTTGATTGTCATCGTATTTAAAAACAATTAGTAATTAAATCAATATTCTGTCTCCGGCTTCTATATAACATGTAGCTTCTCCTTTTTAAAAATTTTAAAGTGTTTGTTTGTCTTTGTGTATTGTATTGTTATGTCCAAATTTACATGTATGACATTCTACTCATGTCGGATAGGCCACAACTGACGAAATGCCCCTGAAGATGATCTATTGATCGAAAGTACTTGGGCAAGATTAAATTAACTACTGTGTTCGATAGTTGCCTTGTATACCGTCAAAGTTTAATTAGTAATTAATTTATTGTGTAAAGAATAATGGATGGGGCAGATTGAAATGTTATAGTGAAGGAAATGATGGGACTAGCAAGAGAAGAGGAGGAAAAAGGAAAAGTGAACAAATTACTAAGTTTGTAGCTCCAAAAAGAACCCTTGTTTTTGTAGCATTTAAGCACAAGAATAATCGTTTTACGTGCTTAAAAATAAGGCCTATTTACATCAGCACTTTCAAAGAAGAGTTTTATAAAGTTCCAGACACGAAAATACAAGACAATATAATTGCCAGTCTGATTCATACAACACAAATCAAAATACAGGTCTAAGTAGGTAAAAAAAAAAACAAAAAGAAAAAACCTGGACCTAAGCGAAATTACTCAATACAATACTTTTTTCAACTGTCTCTGGTGCTACAACTTTTGTATATTTAAAGCTTTTTCGCACTGTTATTGGTACTGAAGAACCTACATGGAGTACATGGAAATGGATGTTTCTCATTATGTTAACTTTTACTTTGATCTTCAACAAATTCAGTCACAACCGAAAAGTCCAATTCAGGATGCTTTTTACGGGAGACAACTTATACCCTTTGTATTACTAATCTAAAAACGCAAAATCACATGTTCTACACTTGGACAGAAAAGCAGCCAGGAGCAGACATGGTGGAAATATTGGCTCTCTTTAATTATAATGAAATAAGCTAATTTTTAGGGATGTTCTGTACTAAGGTTGTTTAGTTATGGTTGTGTTTCTTAAAATAAAAATAATATTGTTCTGAGAACACTGATTCATTTTTTGGAAACACCCAAAATGATTTTATTGTATTTCGATGTACGCGGACATAGTTTTTTACCTACCGACTGGGTTTTTCGAAGAGCAAAAAAGCAGTTGTGAAAAAAACCCATAATTTTAATTTAACAAGAACACCATGATATCTACAATGGTATAGCCAAGGTAAGAGCAGTAAGAGAAGATTGGCCACTTCTTGATACTAAAAAGCTAAGTGAATACTATAGGGACATCCAATCAATTAGTGAACTGAAGAGAATTGAAATATGCTACCGGACACAAGAAGAAATTGAACACCTCCGAAAAAAGGGGAAAGGAAAGTTCTACAAAAATATTGTGTTTGTAAAAAAAAAGGCTTGAAAACTACAAGTATGGAGGAGAAGAGGCTTCTTTATCTTGAGAAAGTAAGGGAAAAGAAAGAATTTTAAACAAGTGAGACTGGAAGAACTCCCACTTCCTCATGTTTTAACCAAAGAAATGACAAAGATGTTCACACACTTTTGTAAAAAAATGTTTTTCTGATCCACGGTTTGGTTGGTACAAGTTTTTTATTTCTGATTAACCCACTACAGCAGCTGCTGGCGAGGAGCAGAAAGTAATGGGTGACTGTCTCGACGATGAACGCTGAAAAAGAATCTTAAACAAGTGAGACTGGAAGAACTCCCACTTCCTCATGTGTTAACCAAAGAAAAGACATAGATGTTCACAAACTTTTTAAAAAATATTTTTCTGATCCATGTATTGGTTGGTACAAGAGTTTTATTTTTGATTAAACCACTACAGCAGTTCTTAGCGAAGAGCAGGAAGTAATTAGTGACTGTCTCGACGATGAGCGCTGTGAGTTCCATATTAAAAAAAAACTTTTTGTTGCCTTAGTGAGAGCGCCCACCAGAGTGGCGTGGCACGTGGCAAGTGGCAAGTAGCACGCGTCTAGCATGTTTCTTAAAATGTAACCAATGAAAACGAATGATTGAGCGTACACCAAAGTGACAGTGACGTCATTCACTCTAATCATTCGTTTTCATTGGTTACATTTTAAGAAACATGCCAGACGCGTGCTACTTGCCACGCCACTTTGGTGGGCGCTCGCCCTTAATTACATATTATGACAATGTTTGTCACTTAGAAGTTCATTCAGAAAATCATTGTTCCTTTACTTTATTTCTTTGAATTTTTACTTTATTTACATGCAAATTATCTTGTGTCCACAACATTTTACATGCCAAACACTTATTTCCACTGAGTTCATGCATAAGGTCTTATTGCCAAAACAAAATCAATTTTTTAAACTATTTTTTAGCTACCCTAACTGAAATAAATGTTTTAATCTCATGTTTGGAACCAATACTATTGCATAACGTTGATTAGAACTGATTATCCTTTTTCAGAGCAAAGCTATAAGTTTTTAGCCCTCCCTAAAAAATTACTTATTTGTGACTTAAGCTTGATTGCATTTTACCTCCGTAGTTGTATATAAATATTAGAATGTGGGTAAAACGAAAATAAAATATATATTTTTCAATGTGTTAAGTTTATCTTCGGAGAAAACGTTCAAAGGGTTCACGTTCGTCCGAATGTCCTAACAAACTAGTTTCCAACATCACATGACGATCCTGAGTTTAGAGAGAGGAATCTTTATCACATAGACTACACAACAGAAAGAAAAGCCTGCACGCTCATGCCCCCCTCCTAGGATGTGTAACCACCAAAATAAGGAAAAAAGAACAAATCTTCAAGTAGAAACAATATAGTTTTCAACATAATACTTTGTCTTTAGCCGTACGTACGCTGAAATATTCGATGTGTTGTACCGTTTCCCCTTGATTTGAATGGCATATCCTTTTATTTTGAAATTTAGTATGTTATGGAGTAAATCATCTCAGATCGCTAAGCCTGTACTAAATTCATGTTTTCGTTAGTCTTAATTACTAAAGACTATCGTAGATTTGCTTAGCTTTATATTTCCACATTGTCGGCCATGTTATTTCTTGAAGTGCTGTTATGCCCACCCTTAAGTTGTATGGTATTTGTTGCGGTTGCAGGTCTCTGCCAGTTATGGATGTTCCCAGTTCCAATATTCGTAGCCCTTTGGCATTGTTTTAATTATTTTCTAGATTTATTCGTCGGTTCCGAGGTAAAGTCGCCGCTTTTGTAACTAGTTTTTTTTTTCTGAAGTTATCTTCCTATTTACTCCCAATCTGTAAGTTTTTGTTGGAGTGTATTGCATTATTCGATCTATTTTTTTTTAGTTTTAAGACGCCGGGAAGTCGTCTTTCGCCCTCTCTCGTCTGCTACATTACGAACAATAAAGATGGGCAAGGTGTATACGTGTGAAATGTAGATGAGTGGTGTTTATGTAGTTTTTTTTTTCATTTTAGGGTCAAAACCTGCCGTTCATGAAACCCGAAGATGCACAATATTTCGACAAACTCTTGGTTGACGTAGACGAAGAAGCCTTAAGTCCCGAAGAACAGAAAGAACGTAAAATAATGAAGCTTCTTCTCAAAATCAAAAATGGAACTCCCCCTATGCGTAAAGCCGCTCTCAGACAAATAACAGATAAAGCCAGAGAATTCGGAGCTGGACCCTTGTTTAACCAGATATTACCGTTGTTGATGAGTCCAACGCTCGAAGATCAGGAGAGACATCTTTTGGTTAAAGTTATTGATAGAATTTTGTACAAATTGGACGATTTGGTGAGACCTTATGTACACAAAATTCTTGTGGTTATCGAGCCGTTGCTCATTGATGAAGATTACTACGCTCGTGTGGAAGGTAAGGAAACAGATATTGTATATTTTTTCAGATTCAGACATTTAAACATGGTTTTCGATCCTTAATAACGTATCAACGAATACGAATACTTTTTTGTTAGATACCTACATTATAAAACAATTTTTTGTATTTGAGCATTTGTTTTGTAAATAGAATTTAGATTTATTCTTATTTCAGGTCGTGAAATCATCTCTAACCTTGCCAAAGCTGCCGGTTTAGCTACAATGATTTCCACAATGAGACCGGATATTGATAACATTGACGAGTATGTAAGAAATACCACGGCGCGTGCGTTTGCTGTAGTAGCATCAGCTTTGGGAATTCCCTCGCTGCTTCCTTTCTTGAAAGCAGTATGTAGATCGAAGAAATCGTGGCAGGCCAGACATACCGGTATTAAGATCGTCCAGCAAATCGCTATTTTGATGGGTTGCGCCATCTTGCCGCATTTAAAATCGCTGGTGGAAATTATTGAGCACGGTTTGGTTGATGAGCAACAGAAAGTTAGGACAATTACAGCATTGGGTAAGTTTTTGACTTTAAACATCTTTCCTTAGAATCAAAATTAATTAAACTGTTTTTTAGGTATTGCCGCTCTTGCAGAAGCTGCTACTCCGTACGGTATTGAAAGCTTCGACTCGGTTCTCAAACCCCTGTGGAAAGGTATTCGTACTCATCGTGGTAAAGGTTTGGCAGCTTTCCTTAAGGCTATCGGTTATTTGATTCCTCTTATGGACGCAGAATACGCTAACTACTATACCAGGGAAGTAATGTTGATCCTTATACGAGAGTTTCAGTCTCCAGACGAAGAAATGAAGAAGATCGTCTTAAAGGTAACATTTTATATTTGTGCTAGTAAAAATTGAAATAACAAAACTGATAAACCTTCTATCGAGAGTATTCTACAAAATGTACGTAAAATAAAATCATTTTAGTGTCGTTTGGTGTTTATTCTAATGTGACTAGTCTCTTGGATATCACGTTTCACTGTCAGAAATTATCTCTGATTTATGGCTGTAAACTATTTGAATTTTATGTGAAACGTATATTTGTTTATAGATTTTTATTGTAAGCGACAAGTCTTTGATGTTGTAATATACCCTGAAACTAACTTAACACTTTAACTGCCATGAGAAGCATGCCATGATGCACGGCCAATTTGATTCTGTTGCCGCGAGAATCAGCTTTTGATTCTCACTTGTATGTTATTTATATGGGATAGAAATATGTTCGGCTGGAAGGACCCTCTTTTTTCACTATGGCGGCAGTCTAAGTGTTAAAACGCTTAAAACATAATACTTTATAATGCATAACAAAGATCTTTACTTCAAATTGCAAGTAAAGGTTGGCGTATGAGGTGTCACAGATGTCAATCCGTTAATGATTGGACGCACTGCGATCTTCTTCTTAAGGTTCCATCTTCTAACGAAGGTTGGATATCAACATGGCAATTCTTATTTTACTTACAGCAGCTCTAAATAGTTGGCTAGAGCTCAGACTAAACCATTCCCTTAGATTTCGTAGCCAGGAGGTTCGTCTTCTTCCTACATCTCTTTTACCTTTTATTTTGCCCTCTATAATCAAACGTAGTAGCCCATAACGAGGACCTCTTAATATATGACCGAAATATTCAAGTTTCCGCCTCTTAATTGTCTGTACAATTTCTTCCCTCTTATTAACCCTATCAAGGACTTCAATATTGGTAATTTTGTCTACCCATGCTATTCGTAGCATCCTTCGATAGCACCAACGCTCAAAAGCTTCCAATTTCTTAATCTCCAGTTGTTTCAATGTCCATGCCTCAGATCCGTAGAGCAAAGTTGTAAAAATGTAGCAGCGCAATAACCTTATCCTTAGATCTATTCTTAGGTCTCTACTACACAATAGATGTTTCATTTTTACAAATTTTGCCCTTGCTATTTCTATACGGCTTTTAATCTCTTGCGTTTGTTCTGCGTTTTGACTAACCAATGTTCCTAGATATTTGTATTTATCTACCCTTTCTATCTGGATATTATTAATATGGAGTGTCTCGTTGTCTTTTGGATGTTTTGTAATGACCATGAATTTTGTTTTCTTTAAGTTCATTTTAATACCATATATGGTACACTTTTCATTCAGCCGTTCCAGTATGTTTGTTAGACTTTGCAGAGTTGAAGTGAATATGACAGTATCATCGGCATATCTTATATTATTAATAATTTCACCATTTATTATCATTCCATCGTTACACTCTCCTAAAGCTTCTTGGAAAATGGCTTCGCTATATATATTAAACAGCAGTGGTGACAATACACAGCCCTGTCTCACACCCCGAAGAATTTCTATTTCTTCCGACATTTGATTTTCAATTCTTATTTTGACTTTCTGGTTCCAGTAGAGGTTCGAGATTACTCTGATGTCGCGGCTATCGATGTTTTTCATTTTTAAAATATTAATTAGTTTATTGTGCTGTACCTTGTCAAATGCTTTTTCAAAATCAATAAAACATGTATACATGTCTTGGTTCATATCCAGATTTCTTTGCATGAGCACATTTATACCGAACAATGCTTCCCTGGTTCCCGTGCCGTTTCTAAAGCCTAACTGACTATCACTAATTTCATCATCCAGCTTTCTGTAAATTCTGTTGTGGACTATTCGTAGAAATACTTTCAAAACATGGCTCATTAATGCAATTGTACGGTGTTCTGAGCATTCTTTTGCATTTTGCTTTTTGGGAATAATTACGAATGTGGATACTAACCACTCCTTTGGTAAAATACCTGTTTGATAAATATGATCATAAAGTTCTACTAGAATGTCTATCATTTCATCATCGATCAGTTTAAGAAACTCAATCGGGATTTCATCCGGACCTGTGGCCTTTTTCCCTTTTGTCTGTTTTAATGCGTATTGAACTTCCTGTTTTAAAATTTTTGGTCCCGATTCACCAGAGTCCTCATCTATGATTTGTTGTCTGTCATCCCCGAATAGTTCTTTTATGTATTCTGTCCATCTGTTTAGTTGTTGTTTTGTATCTGTGAGAATGTTACCATTCGAGTCTTTTATAACATGTATATTATTTTGTTTTCCCGACGTCATTTCCTTCACTTTCCGATGAATATTGAAACTATCATATTTCTTTTCATATTCTTCTATTTCGTGACACTGTTCAGTTAGCCATCTTTCTTTTGCTGTTATTATGTCTTTTCTAATCCTGCTGTTTAAGGATTTGTATTTGCTAGTGTTTATGTTTTTATATTTTCTTCTTTCATTCATGAGAGTTAGTATTTCGTCTGTCATCCACATATGTCTTTTCTTTGGTATTCTCTCCAATTTTCATTTACGTCTTTAGAGTTGGTGTTTTTTGACTTGATGGGTTTAAGATTATCATTGATTTTCTGTCTAACTCTTTGTTCTATCTGAGTATCTTTTAATCTTGTCACGTCGAATTCTTTTCTAATCTTTTTGTTTTTTAACTTTTTTAATTTTGCTTCCATTTCGGCAATAATAGGGACGTGATCCGAGTATATATCGGCACCTGGATAAGTTTTTGCTGATTTTATTGAATTTTTAAACCTATTTCTGATCAAGACAAAGTCTATTTGGTTTCTGACGATGTGTGATTCTCGGTCTGCTGCTGATTTCCACGTGTATAGTCTACGTTTAGGTAGATCAAATAAGGTATTTACTATAACCAGATCTTCATTTTGGCAAAATTCTAAGAGTCTATCTCCACGTTCATTTCTAACGCCCAATCCAAACTCACCAATCCATGGTGCCACTGCGATACACATTAGAAAATAGATGCATCATTGAGGTGAAATTAATTGTCTCACGCAATATCCAATGTGCAAGGGGGAGCGAAATGCAAAGAAACAAAAAAAACTTGTTACACAAATATAAAAGCAACACGAATTTGTTTTGCCCAGACAGCTACACAAACTACACTAGTCGGAATAAAACTGACAAAATCAGACACTAGTGAAAATATGAATTCTTCACATATATTATTAATTCGATCAGATGATTACATCATACATATCTCAGAAACTACAATAAGCTAATAACTCTTAGTGGATGCTAATTTATAATAAAATGATAATAAAATGTACTGAAGAAAATGATCAAAAACGCACCCTTTAGTCCAAGAAACCCTTCGATTCAAATGCATTAAATTGTTTTACTGTCCATATTTGACCAAAGAAGAGTACGAAATGTTGATTTACATTTGAAAAGCTGTTTAATTAAAAAAAAAACTACATTACAATTACTGTTAAAAATTACAACGAATACTAAAAATTGCTAATTAGCTTCAATCGGATATAATTCCCCATACTGTAACAAAAAGTGTGAGGACTGAGAGGTTTAGGATGTCAATGTAATAAAAGTGTATATGTGTAATATAACACAAGTATTTGGGGTAATGTAAAAGATATCATATAATTTAAAGCTGGCTAGCAGAAGTTGCCGGAGAGTGACTACTTGACACTCAAAGGAGGATTCGGCCAATTTGCATGCCCTACAGAGACCATAGAATAAGAAAATGTATGACAAGGTAATAAACAACCTATAGGTATATAACTAAGTGATTATAGAAATAAAAGTGATTATAGAAGTTGCTCCAAAATATAAGTGGGCGCCAGGAAAGTATTTACATAAACTTTCCAAGGTATCTTGTAAAGCTGTTTGCTGAAATATAGAGGGAAACAGGTATCAATTGAAATATTTAGTTTTCACCAAAAATTTAATCCCTATACAAATATATACAGTCTAAATTTATCCTAAAATACCCACCACCAATTATGTACAGTTAATCTAGTTACTTATATACCAAAAAGAATATAAATACCCTGGTTACACACAACTGATCCTTGATAATCTGAATTTATAAATTATAAAATATAAGAATAAATTTAATGATAATGATAATTGATCTAAATTTACAAATAATAAGATATATAGGAAAAATTTTATTGATTCGACCTAAAAAGGTAATTTACTTGCCTCAGAGATGTAACTCTGTAGTTTTTCTTTCAATTGATTGTCTTAACAAGTAATAAGGACAATATCCTGAAGGGACAAATGTCCAAAGGTTTAAATATGTAATAATAATAAAATCTTAATAAATAACTTTTTGATTAAATGTGTACACAAGAAACCATACAAATGAGTTAAAAGGGAGGATTTAAGACCTCAACCTACTTAGTCCCTAAATATAATTAAGTATTATTTCAGAAAAAAATATGATGGGTTTTTTATATTATTAAGTAAAAAGAGTATGATTTAACGTTCAAAACAAAAAATATATAAAAAAATTAAAGCTAATAAAAAAACTTAATACAGGTTTACTATATTTTAAAGAGAGATAATTCCCGCTGATTTCTCAAAAATTGTTCGGGAATCAGAAGGTCAGATTTGGACCTCTGGGGAACAGTTACGGCAAAAAAAACGGCCCTGGAACCAGGTGTAACCTGACTAGGTTTTAACTTAATCTTTCTTCTTAGGAGAATTATCCAAAGAAAATCAAACATTCTTCCCCTGACTTCTGCTTGATTCGTAAAGGTAGGCTAAAAAACATTTGTTTTAGAACTTTGAAAATAAGGCTATTATCGAGCACAAGTTAATTAAATCTAGCCCAAGTACTTTCGCTTAAAATAGCATCTTCAGGGGCATTTCTTCAAAATGTAAACTATCCGGCAAGCGTAGAATGTGGAAACATTAAAAATAACATAAAATTGTACAAAACACTACACTAAAACGAGGACAAACAGTTTAAAATTACTTAAAGATTCTACGCTACATTATCTGTCAGTATCTGGAGGGATAATGATTATCCCTCCAGATACTGACAGAGAATGTAGCGTAGAATCTTTAAGTAATTTTAAACTGTTTGTCCTCGTTTTAGTGTAGTGTTTTGTACAATTTTATGTTACAATTTTATGATAATGATTATCCCTCCAGATACTGACAGAGAATGTAGCGTAGAATCTTTAAGTAATTTTAAACTGTTTGTCCTCGTTTTAGTGTAGTGTTTTGTACAATTTTATGTTATTTTTAATGTTTCCACATTCTACGCTTGCCGGATAGTTTACATTTTGACGAAATGCCCCTGAAGATGATATTTTAAGCAAAAGTACTTGGGCTAGATTTAATTAACTTGTGCTCGATAATAGCCTTATTTTCAAAGTTCATTTATTCGAGCATTCAACCTCATTTCATTTATTTGTTTTAGAGTTCTTTCTTATTCTTGATACAGGGTAGGGAAAAAACACAAGGTTTATGAACCTTGAAAGGTTTTATAAAGGTTACTTATGAAGTGTGAAAGCAAAAAACTTAATGGTTTTGTAGATAATGTGACCGTCGTATGGTTTGACAATATTTCAAGTAAAATGGATTAATTATATCGATAATTTCAACGAAAAGCATGATATGGATAATAATATATTTTATAATATAAAGAACGGTATAAGACAGAATATTTTTAACGATACTTTTAATAGATTGTTTTAAAAATAGATAATTATGTTTTTGAGGCCGGGAAGTAAAATTAAAATACATATGATTTTATATTCATAACACTTTCGATTTAGATGTTGAATATTTCTTAAATAAATTATGGAAAATAGTTCAGATAAATATATCGAATCAAATGAAACGTGACAATACAGGATCTCAAAATGGCTGATGGGTTTTATATTTCCGTTTTATTGATAATTTTATAAACTTACCGGATTAAGGCGGCTTTAAAACAAACAGCACACTTATAAAAAAACCCAAACTAAAACTTTCTACTTTTCTTCATAAAAAATATTGATTACTAACCGACTTTGCAGAACGTGATTGATCTTTGGGACGTCTTTGTTGGGAAATGCTTTTTTTTATTAAACCACATATAAAGGCATTTTGTGTACTAAAGGAACCTAACTTAAAAAAAAGGATTTAAAAGCATGAGCACATGCTTCTTCTGGTATTTGTTGCAAACATTTCTTTTTGCAAAAACAGTGCGTGTTAGTAAATACCTTTCCTGCTAAAATTTTACCACGTTTAGTCGTATTTTCTTTACCTGTATTTCTTAGTATTGCCGGTTTTTACTACACTACCATTCATCTGCCTTTTCAGAGTTCGAGGTGGTTTTTCATGTTCTTGTTGTACCTCCAGTGTATCTTGTATTATAGTAGTATTAGGGTACACTGTTCTCGACATCAGTTTCTGAAATAAAAAAAGACATTGTTAGCAACAACCGACAACATCTTTCAGACGTAATTTTACGTCTACATGAAAAGTAAATACAGATTACAATAATTTTGACTAAAAACAATGCGTATATTAACCGCTAATTTTAGAATTAAAGTTTAAGTACCAATTTTGTGATTATGTTACACTTTTCATCAGTATACGTAAATATAAGGTGACTTACCTGTATTTTCTCCGATGGTAGCCATTCGTCCGATTCTGAGTAAGAATAAACACTAGCTTCACTATTACTTTTACTGAATACACTGGAAACGTCGTCAGCCATACTTAACAGCACTCAACGGTCAATGACAGCATCCACAAAAACTGCCACTTAGCTGATATAAAAGTGGTGTAAGTCAGACTTACAGCACAATTTAACTACGATATGAGTAGTTTCGCTTGTCGATCAAACTGATGTTGCCATCTATAAGACAAGAGAAGACTTTTGACCTACACCATTTTTCTTGCTAATAGATTTGAATATAGACAAAACGAATATGAGCATAACTCAATAATGACAAATAACTGACTTACACCACTTTTATTTTGACCGCCTCATAGCTAGTAGCCGATTTTTTGAATTTTCATCTCGTTTTAATGTACATTTTACGTCAAAATGACGTTAAATTCCAGGTGCGGACCCAGAATAGATTGAATAAAATAAAAAAATCAAAATAAAACAAATAGATGTTACAAGATGGAAATTATAGAAATAAGTTTTTTTTATAAATCTATGTTATATTAATAATGATAAACAGTAACACAATTTAACTTCGCAATATTCTGTTCATTGATAGCACCAACCTCCATATGTTATAACCAACAAGCTTACTTAATATTTTATTATTTATTTTATTTATTTTTTAAACGCGCGAAATTTTTGACAAGCACTTTGACATCCATACACCATGAAGTCCGTACGACACTGCAATTTTACAGTATTACAGTGTATTCCGATGTCTTTTTCTTGTATCTTTGTTATTTTCGTTTTTAGAGCAGTCCTTATTACTTCAACCTCTGTCCGTATCAAGTTCTCTAGCGTTTCTATTTTTTTCTCATTCTTGATGTAATTTTTCTTTTCAGGGTTATTCAGTTGTGAGATATCTATTTTTCTTGTAATTTTTTCTCTCTTAACTTTCAGAAATCTTTTTAATCTAAAATCCCTTCTAACTGGATTGTGATCGCTATAAATGTCTGCTCCAGGGTATGTTTTAGTAGATTTTATGTAGTTCTTTAAGTTATTATCGAGCAAAATGAAGTCAATTTGGATCCTAACAATTTTGTCTTCTCTGTCTGCAGGTGATTTCTAAGTGTATATCCTTCTAGGATGTTGTTTGGAGAAGGTGTTGGCAGACTGTTCTATAAGTAGAATTGTGAAAGTCCATCTCACCTATTGTTTCTGGTTCCGAAACTGTATGCTCCTATGTTGTCTCCTTCAAGACCAGTCCAATTTTGGCATTAAAGTCACCCATGATCATCGTTATCTCACCTCTTTTTGTCAGTCACATAATTTCATTTGAGTTGTTATTAGTGAAGAAGTATATGAAGAAAATTGGATGCTGTCATTTCTTTTGTTTATACACTAGGGTGGTTTACAATATCAATGGCTTCTCGAATGGTTCATGGTTTGAGTGAATGAATAAAAATATTTATATCATCGCTGTGTAAATATGCGTTGGCTAGACAGGGAGTCAGAATTTGGGAATGAAATGGAATATTTGTAGATTTGATTTTAAATTGTTCAGAAAATGAGAGTTATATAGAGCATATGCCGCTATATAAGGCAGATGTAATTTCAAAGACACTGCCGTTCGCTCAAAGACAGAAATTTGAATTATTGATTTCCTTTTATCGTTGCTTATATTAATTTTAATAGGTACTACTAGTAGCTTTTATTGTAGAAGGCTTTGTTTAAAAGTAATTTTATCTGAGACGTTATTTTTTTAGGTAGTGAAACAGTGTTGCTCTACAGATGGTGTGGAAGCTCAGTATATCAAAGAAGAGATCTTGCCGCAATTCTTTAAACATTTCTGGAACCACAGAATGGCTTTAGACAGACGTAACTACAGGCAGCTAGTAGATACTACCGTAGAAATTGCAAACAAGGTAAGAAAAAATTCCTAAAACCTTAAAGCATTTATTTAATTAAGAGAACATTTCATGTTCTGTTTTTTATTTAAAACAGTACAGAGACGTGCATAAGTAGATGATAAGTATTTCTTACTTATAAGAGTATAACTGTTATAACTGTTTCATAACCGTTAGAAAAAAATGTCATATAAGCAAACAAAATTTGATAGTCAAAGTTTATTATTATTCAACATAGTCTCCTCTTAATTGAATACATTTATTACAACAAACTGCAACACCTTTAGACCCCTTAAAGATATTTTTTTATCTTGCTCTGTACAGCAGGACTCCACACCTTCTACTACACCATTGGTTGCAAGACAATTTAGATTGCCATTTTAGACTTAAAACTCAAAATTAGCTGGCAACGCCGCTCGATAGAGAGCAGAAATAAAAAGTGCACGTCTGCGTCTTGGCGACTCAAGGTCGCAGTTGAACTTATCTTCATCTGTCATATATTACTTTGAATAAATTTATGTCTTTTAGGTTGGAGCCTCTGAAATAATCAACAGAATCGTCGATGATCTCAAAGACGAAAACGAAGCCTACAGAAAGATGGTAATGGAAAGTATCGAGAAGATAATGGGTAATTTAGGAGCCGCAGATATTGATTCCAGACTAGAAGAACAGTTGATTGATGGTATTCTTTATGCTTTCCAAGAACAAACTACAGAAGACGTTGTCATGTTGAATGGTAAGTTTTTAATGTTTTAGTAAAATTTTTACTATTTTAATCTTGCTCCTTTAACCGTTGTCCAACCTTTATTACTACTGTTTCCTCTATTAGAAAACCCATTTTCATTTCCAACCACAGAGCACAACGTTTATTACATAGCTAGTAATAATCTGGCTATGTTGACGCAGTGGCATACACTGTGGCTGCGTGAAATCAATTACGGTATATTCTGGCGCATACCCTATCAACGGATTGTACATTTAATTGACACACTTAGTGACATGTTGAATTTTACACAAGCAAAGCGTTCTGAAACATAAAATGGTGCATAAACTATGTAAAGACTTACATAACCTCGCCACTAGTCACAACATAAACAATGTGAAATCAACCATGATGATTATAAACTACTAACAGTTGCTTTTGTTTTTTCATTTGGCAGGTATGCCAACTTAAACTAAAACACGTACTGCTGAAGATCAAAAACTTTATCTTTTAACCGAGAACTAATTGAACAACCTATTGGTGATTATTCGTTTCGACAAGCAAAAATAGGAATTATATGTTTTGGAGCACGAAACGATTAGATTGCCGTGACGTGTTATCGGATAACCCTCGTAATAATGTATGTCATTTTTCTGTCTTAAATGTAACTGTTGTGGTGTTTTAGGTTTTGGTACAATTGTTAATCAGCTCGGCAAGCGTGTCAAACCGTACTTGCCTCAGATTTGCGGTACCATTCTGTGGAGATTAAACAACAAGTCTGCAAAAGTTCGTCAACAAGCCGCCGATCTCATATCGAGAATAGCTGTGGTGATGAAGACGTGTTTGGAAGAAAAACTTATGGGTCATCTTGGAGTTGTTCTTTACGAATACCTCGGAGAAGAATACCCAGAGGTGTTAGGATCTATTCTTGGAGCTCTGAAGGCTATTGTGAATGTTATAGGTACGTTATACATTCGTATTATTATTGTAAATTATTTTTAAAAAGTTTTTATACGTCATCAGTGCTTTTTAAATATTTGTTACTCATAGAGCATAAAATTTATAATTATGTTGTAAGTATAGTACTTAAAAAACTATTTAATATTATATACACAGAAACTTCTTTCACATGTTTACATTTATAGGTATGACGAAGATGACTCCTCCCATCAAAGATCTCCTACCACGTTTAACGCCCATTTTGAAGAACAGACACGAAAAAGTACAGGAAAATTGTATCGATTTAGTCGGTCGTATCGCCGACAGAGGACCGGAATACGTTTCAGCTAGAGAATGGATGAGAATATGTTTTGAGCTGTTGGAATTGCTTAAAGCTCACAAAAAGGCCATTAGGAGAGCTACAGTAAACACTTTCGGTTACATCGCTAAAGCTATCGGTAAGTTTGCTGATTTTTTTTAATTTCTCGATAAATTAACCCAATTACGCCTACTTGTAGAGAACATAATCAAACAAATTATTTTTTATTAAATGCATATGTAATTAAATACAAATAAAGATAATTTAAAACCTACATGATGAAAAAAACTACACAGCAATACAGTATAAAAAAATGACTGTACAATTAAAACATGGGTACTGTACAATAACAAAATAATATGCTACTGTAAAATATGTTTAGCCTACATTACCAAAAAAGTCTGTCACCTTGGTCTGTTTTCCTTTTCCCTTTCCACAGAACTGACCTGACCTTGTTCTGAAGACGCATAGAATCTTCCACAGCACTTATATCGTCTTCCTGGTGGATGCAGAATCGATGCAGTACTTTTGTCGCATTCAATGTCTGCTAAGGTGTCGGAGCTGGTTCTGGCTTTACTTCCACTTCCAGGTCACTGTTTTCTTCCTCTTCTACACGAACTGCTTGTAGGATATCCTCGTCAGAAAGTCCACATTTGTAGCTACATTTTCATCAACTTCAAAATGTGTTCGCCCTTCCGATCCGTAGGTGATAGTAAGTTCAAACTGTGTGGTCCAAACATCTAATGGCAGGTTATCTTCATCATCAGTGAATCCTTGATCTTCTAGCCATCCTGCGTGTTTGAAGGAATGTTTTATTCTATTGCTTGTCACCTCGTCCCAGGATTTACTAATCATTAGGATGTCGTTAAGAATGTTTAGTTTAGGATCGCCATTGTTCTCAACCAATTCGACTTCCCTATCACTAACAATTTTCGCTTCACCGAACCTGTCATGTTAGCGGCCTCTAAATAATGCGTTCCTTAGGGAGCTTTACACCAACGCACTTTTCCGATTTAAATTTTAAAGTTCTGTTTGCTGTCATTTTAAAAAACAATCCAGCCTCAACAGCATTGAAAATGTCGTCTGACGCATATCGTGCCTTAAGTCTAGGTCCCACGTTTTCTAGCCGATCATCTGTTACATTTTTAACATCGCGAGCCTCTCCGCTGATTTGGCCGTAGTTGATTTTGTGCCGCAGCTTTCACTTGCTCAGCCAACGCTCAGAAATTCTCAATTCCCAGCTCAGTTGCAAAAAACTCAGCTTTTGTCCTGACCACAGGTCGAGAAAGTGCAATATGGTTCATACGCTGCTGCTGGAACCACTGAAGCATAGCGCGATCTAAAGCTTCGTGCTGAGGTTTCCGCAACTTCTTCCTGCTACCGCCCTCTATCTCCGCTTCAAGCCACTTTTTTCTGTCCTTTTATATCGTAGTCACAGTTGACTGAAACAGCCCCGTACGGCGAACGTACATCCGGTTGCTTTTCACCTTTCTCTTTTGCTCGAGTTATCGATAACTTTTCCTCCACCGAGAGCACTTTACGCTTTTTCGAAAACATGTTGACTGTTGACACACTGAGACAACTCAAACTGGAACTGAAAAGTCGTCAATAGATGACAATATCTGTGTGATAATAGTTAGGCACGCCGCGCCGCCCGAACAATAAAAGCGAGTCACCTATCCCTCTGATAAGAATGATTAAAATGGGTGGCCGCATTCCTTAAGCGCAAAACAAAACAATCGCTGTAGAATTGCAAACTTTAAACACAATAACACATTTGTCACCGACTATTGAACGCTGAAAAGTCATCGTTATAAAGAGAGAACAATATCGGTATAGCGAAATAATTAATACATTGTCCTTATGACGAATCAACCAACGTTTACTATTTTCATCGTTATAGAGGAATTATCGTTATATAGCGAATTGTTATAAAGAGAGACTACTGTATATACTAAAACACTCAACATTAAATTAAGAACTTCTGTTTGTGATTAATTGTTCCACTTTAATAGATTCGAAGTTAACCTACACTTCAAAATTTCAATTTGTACAAAAAATTCTCTATCGCATTATGACATAACAAATACATGTTTCAAACGTGATAGCTCCTCTGTCATAATTTAAAATTTACTGTTTTATTGCTCTCTTATTGTCACGTTTGATTATTATAATTAGTACCATTCCTTTACAGGTCCGCATGACGTCCTTGCAACTCTTTTGAACAATTTAAAGGTACAAGAACGCCAAAACCGTGTTTGCACCACCGTAGCTATTGCTATAGTTGCCGAAACTTGTTCACCGTTCACGGTTCTACCTGCCTTGATGAACGAATATCGAGTCCCAGAACTCAACGTTCAAAACGGAGTCCTTAAGTCGCTCTCATTTTTGTTTGAATATATCGGCGAGATGGGAAAAGATTATATTTATGCCGTAGCCCCGCTTCTGGAGGATGCTCTTATGGATAGGGATTTGGTCCATAGGTAAGTCATGATCTAAACCTTTTGATGTTGTATTAATCTACCTGAAATTGTTTTTTTAATTGAATGAAAGCTATATTAAATTCTGTACTATATTAAATTAAAGCTATATTCATTCACTACAGGCGAAATAATGTTGAATCAGACTTTAAACTATTTAACCTTGATGAAGTTGCTTTGTCAAAATTTAAACTTGCAAAGAAGACTATACAAACTTGAAAAATAAGACTGTGTGACTAGAGAAAAAAAAGAAAAAACAGAGTCAAATGTAAAATATTTTTTACCAATTAAGATGAATTTATTCACCAATTTTTGTTCCAAATATTTTATTTTATTATTCATTATTTTAGGCAAACAGCTTGTGCAGCCATTAAGCATATGGCTCTTGGTGTGTACGGATTCGGATGCGAAGATGCGCTCATCCATCTTCTGAACTATGTTTGGCCCAATATTTTCGAAACTTCTCCACATTTGGTGCAAGCCTTCATGGACGCCATTGAAGGAATGAGAGTAGCGTTAGGGCCGATCAAAATTTTGCAGTATACGTTACAGGTAAGAAAATAATATTGTTATTTGTCGTTTTCTATTATCTTTTAAGGATTGATTTGATTTCTAACATATCTGAACCGTAATCACTCGTGACTTACCCATATCGTGGTCTGTATAAATGCAAGAACCGTCAAACGACACTGAGGTCTCAATCTGCCTACTCCTCAACGTCAAGTGACGACCGAACTTACAAGACACTTGAGATTTAACCTTGTTTAGGCTTGAGCCTCTTCAAGGAATGGAGTACTCCGTTTTTTATCGGAGTAATGGGGGTATGGTAAACGTAAATTACTGACTCGGTGGAGAAGTGGTGGACTACTAAGAAGCAGGGGGGTTCAAAAGGTGGCGTGTGTGTGTGAACAACTGTAAGGAGCGCACAAGAGGAAATGGGGAGCTACGACAAGCATGCCAAATGAGGTACTTCAGGGGTCACAAGCCATGCAGTAGGATTGGCTCATTATCAGCGTTTTTGGCGTGCAGTGCTTAACTGCTATATTTGATTGGGAATGATTCTAAGATATCAAAATACTCATCAGGAAGTTCATGTCCAGTGTTCTGAAGAAGTTTTGCTGTAGGAAACGGAACTTTTCTTGTGGGAAGCCTGGTGAGTATTTGCCCTCGGTGATTGCATGGAATCTTTAATATTTGTTTGGCTCTGTTGTTCGAGCCAGCTATGGTTCTTAGGACATACGTCCTGCAGAGGGATATAATTCTGTCCTTAATTGGTGTTATGTTAGCCAGAATGTATATGTGTGCTGATGGATACAACCAGTCCTACCTCATGCAATATCTGAGGATTCTTCGTTCGGTCGCCATTATGGTATTAATTTGGTGGGTCTTCAGAGAGACATGAACGCATGCCTTGTATTCGATGATAGGTCTAACGAGTGTTTTGTAGGTGTGCAATAAGGTTTTAGAAGATTTCCCGCCCGTTTTACCGGACAGCACCTTCAGGAGGTTAAACCTCTTTCTCATCCTATCTAGGATATCTTAAGGTTTTTGCAATTGAGAGTCCCAGTAAAGTGAACTCCCAAGTAGGAAACCGAGTTTCTGAGAATAAGGTCTTCTCCCAAAAGTGTTATCCGACCCTGGACATCACGACAATTTGGGGATTTGAATAAAATGGCTTGTGTTTTGGAGGGATTTGTGGTCACTCTCCATTTATTGCACCACTTAATGACTCTGTTAATGTAGGTTTGTGATCGTTCGAATACAGACAGTTGTTGTCCACGCTCTCTGTGAGATCCTGACGTGAGGAGGGCAGTATTATCAGCGAAAAGTTTCTTCTTTTATACTATCAGTACGCGCGGGAACGGTATACGCGTATGTGGTGTGGGTTTTGGTGGGGGGTCGCTGAAGTAGCGGTCGCCATGTTGCCGAAAGTCGTTTAGCGTCATCGCGCGTGCTTGGGCCCTTTTTCAACTTCGATGGCTTCACGAATAATTCTCTTAATTCTCTTCTAAAGTATATAATTAAAAAACCCAATCGGGCTATATCATAAAGACAAAACGTTTTCGGAATCCATATTCCATCATCAGTGTCTAGGTGTACATGTTTTGAGCCACTAAATATCTGGGTAAAAACCCGTTAAAAGTTATAGGTTAAAATTTAGTTTACATTATTCGATCTTATACAGGGTGGTGAATCGTCAAACGGTCCATAGGAAATTCAATGGGAAATTCTAAGTTGTTGAATTCCTGCTTCCCTAATTATTTTACAATACAATTCATAGGAAACTATTTGTAAAGAACTAAAATATGTATTAAAAACAAATGTTAAAATTGTTCTACGAATTAAATGTATCCCAAAATTTTGTAAAAATATAAAACATTTTTTAGACCCACCCCTTAAAGTCATTCCACACAAGGTACAAGAATGTGTATGCCATGTTGCGTTTGGTCGTATTTATGTTTCTAATATTTGACATTATTTGAATTGCCAAAATTTTAGTTTAGTGATTTATTGTTTAAAAAACAACATAGTTTATTAAAAAATGTATTCAGTCAAGGAGAAAGTAGCAATAATAAAAATGTTTTATTCTGGCAATAGTGCGCGAATTGTCAGTTCTTTATTTAGCGTAAGATATCCCAATAGACCAATTCCAAGTCACTCAACAATTCTAAGGATTTTAGAAAAGTTTGAAAATACTGGGACCGTGATTTCTAATTGTACCTGTACAAACAATATTGCTGAAGTACCAAAAAATTTAGAAAATCAAAATGAAATAAATGTATTAACAGCAGTTGTAGAAAATCCTAGAATAAGTTCTCGGACCATTGCAGATCAGTTAAATATTCATAACACTACGGCTTTAAAAATTTTGAAAAGGAATAAATTCCGTTCATATAAATTCCAATGTCATCAAGAACTAAGAGAAGGAGATGCTGAAAGACGAGTGGAATTTTGTTATGAAATGTTAGAGAGGGCTAATGCAGACAGACAATTTTTAAAAAACATTTTGTTTAGTGATGAATGTAAATTTACATTAAATAATGAACCAAATGTTCAAAATTATAGGATTTGGTCGACAAAAAAGCCTGAGAATATTATTGAAAGCCATACCCAATATCGTCGAAAAATAAATGTCTGGTTAGGAATATTTAGACACAATATTATTGGACGATTTTTCTATGAGGAAAATTTAAATTCAAAAAAGTTTTTAGACTTGCTACAAGAAAAAATTTTACCCAGACTTGCAGAATTAGTTCCAGATGAAGAAGAAATTTGGTTTCAAATGGATGGCTGCCCTGCGCATAATAACTGGGAGGTTAAGGAATTCCTTAAAAACAGCTTTAATAATTGTTTGATTGGACCTGACTGTAATATTAAGTGGCCTCCGAGATCGGGAGATCTAGCTCCAAACGATTATTTTATCTGGGGGCATTTAAAATCAAAAATCTATTCTGACCAAAAATTTTTACAGATATTGAAACTTTAAAAAGGCGAATTATTGAAGAGTGTGCAAAAATAACGCCACGCATTCTGGCTAATGTTAGACGAGAATTTTACAATCGAGTAGTACAATCCGAGTACTAGAGACTGTTTAGTACAAAATGGCTTATTGTTTGAACATTTGTTATAGTTTTATGTTGAAATTATCATAAATTATATAAATTATTATTAGGAAGGATCACAGTAAAACTATATAGAAATTATTTGATTGTTGTATAACCTTGAATTGAATTGGAGTGTATTATGATATCTTGTGTTAAATAAAGATCTGGTAGTGCTCGCACTATTGCCTGACTACAACATTATTGTGATTTTTCGTGAAATGATTACATTTCATCAATTTTATTGCTTTGTAAACAGTATAATTTATTGTTTACAAAGTACTAGTTACTGTTCACTAGTAGTAGTATTTGTGAAAACTTATGCATTTCAGTATTTGTGTATGATTTAGTCACAAATTAAAAATATTGACAATTCAAATAATGTCAAATAGTAAAAACATAAATATGACCAAACGCAACATGTCATACACATTCTTTTACCTTGTGTGGCCTGACTTTAAGGGGTGGCCTAAAAAATGTATTATATTTTTACAAAGTTTTGGGATACATTTAATTCGTAGAACAATTTTAACATTTGTTTTTAATACATATTTTAGTTCTTTACAAATAGTTTCCTATGCATTTTGATGTAAAATAATTAGGGAAGCAGGAATTTAACAATTTAGAATTTTCCATTGAATTTCCTATGGACCGTTTGGCGTTTCACCACCCGGTATATTAAGATGTTAAAGTTACCAGTGGATTTGATAACATGCCATGGAAAACAAAAAACAAAATAGTTTATCGGTGGAAGACAACCGTATATACGTATTTCTGACTATTACTATTTGGTCGTCATCACTACTGTGCAGCCAAGTTAGAAAAGGAGCATGTTAACTCGCGAAAGGATCACTAGGAGCAATGTGACCAATTTGTGGCATAAAGTAAGCAGACCCTGATGATTTGCGGGGCAACAACTAACAATAGCCACTGAGGAAGCTACAGCTACCTGAAGAAAGGAATGCCAAACGTGAAAACGTTAAAAACAACATTTAAACCGTACTTTGTTAAACAGTTTTTTATTATATTATTTCCTTTTTTGCGAGCTATGCCGATACCTTTTCCCTTTATTTTACTATCAACTCGCACTAACCTTTTTCTTGTTGTTTGAAACTTCTAAACGTTTGACATTCCTTTCCTCGGGTAGCTTAGCTTTCTCCGTGGATGTGTTAGTTGTTGCTCTGGAAACCTCAGAGTCTTTTAACATTATTACCAATTGGTCGCATTGCTCCTGTAGTGATCCTTTCCTAAGTTAATATGCTCCTTTTCTAACCTGGCTGCACCGTACTGAAGACGGCCAATAATCAGAAATACATATATGAGTTGCCTTCCATCTTATACACATATTTTATTATATTTTTTCCTTTGTTTCGAGCCCTTGCGACTTTTATGCCGATACGTTCTACCTTTATTTTACTATCAACTCGCATTAACCTTTTTCTTATATGGAGTTCCTTGAACAATACTATGTTCATTATAAAATCAGTGTTATTTAGGTTTAGGTTCAATCTTCTTTAAGTGCCATCTCTGCGACGAAGGTTGGCAATCATCATGGCTATTCTGACCTTTGAGGCAGCTGCTCTGAATAATTGCCTTGAGCTGCAACCAAACCACTCTCTCAGGTTCTTCAACCAGGAAACGCGTCTTCTTCCTACGCTTCTCCTACCCTCTATTTTGCCTTGAATTATGAGTCTCAAAATGTTGAATCTTTCGCCTCTCATTACATATCCGAGATATTGCAATTTCCTTCTTTTTATTGTATTTTCCATTTCCCTCTCTCTGCCTATTCTCCTTAGCACTTCTGCATTCGTGACTATCTACCCATGGAATCCTTAACAATCTTCTAAATGTTCACATAAACCTCAAACGCGTTGAGTCGATTTATTGTATTCTGGTTTAATGTCCATGATTCAGCTCCATAGTAGAGTGCACTGTGTACATAGCATTTAATTAGCCTTATTCTGAGGGCCAATGTTAGATCTTTGCTGCATAAAATCTTTTTTATTTTCACGAAGTTCGCACGTGCTTTTTCAATTCTGACTCTTATCTCTGCAGTATAATCGTTATTTTCTGTGATTATCGTTCCCAAGTAAGTATATATTTTTACTCTCTCAATCTGCTGGCCGCCTACCGTTAATATTTCATTTGTATTGTTGTTTTTACTAATTTTCATGAATTTGGTTTTCTTGATGTTAAGGGAGAGTCCGTATTCTCCACTATATCTTAATATCTTGTTCATTATTCTTTCTAAGTCTTTCAAGTTGTCGGCTATTATGACTGTATCGTCGGCATACCTAATGTTGTTAATTAAACTTCCGTTCACTTTTATGCCGACTGTCTCGTTTACCAAATCTTCTTGTATGCTTTCTTCAGAATAAGCATTAAACAATAACGGCGACAGTATGCAACCTTGCCTGACCCCTCTCCTTATCTCCACTTCTTCTGACACTTCTCTTCCAATTTTCACATTTAATCGTTGGCTGTAGTATAAATTTGATATCAATGTTACATCCCCCACATCTCCAGATTCTTGTTTTTGAGAATTTCTATAAGTCGGTCATGTTTTACTTTATCGAATGCCTTGTTGTAGTCTATAAAGCATACATAAAGATCTCGATTAACATCCAAACATCTTTGGGTCAGCACGTTAAAAGAAAATAGTGCCTCTCTTGTGCCCACTCCATTCCGAAATCCAAACTGGGAATCACTAATATCCATCTCCAGCTTAGCGTGTATTATGTTCAATGGGTAATGTTAAATTTGGAACTAGATTTTATTTTTCCATTTAACTCAACGTGTCGGCAGGTAATTCTTGTCTTTGTCAAGATTCTAAAATGTAGAATATTGGGAACAAAATAATATTGTAATCATATTTTGGTAATTTTTTATATATCTATCTATCTATCTATACAGCCCTTTACATCCATCCTTGGATATAGGCCTCCTCCTCCTTCTTTCATGCCTCTCTATCTTGGCAATTTGCATCCATTTTGACCCGGCGTGTTTCTTCAGGTCATCTGACCATCGCATTTGTGGCCTTCCCCTTTTACGTTTGTGATTCCATGGTCTCCAATGTATAATTGTTTTAGTCCATCTTTCATCTTTCTGCCGTAGGGTGTGTCCGGCGAACTTCCATTTAAGCTTTGCTACTTGGGTTGAGACATCTTTCACTTTTGTTTTATTACGGATCCATTCGTTTCTTTTTTGTCTGATAGTTTAATGTTCAGCATTTGTCTTTCCATGGATCTTTCTGTCTTTGCTATTTTTTTCATATTTTCCTTTGTAAACGTCCATGTCTGAGAGCCATATGTGAGGACAGGGAGTATACATTGATTGAAGACTCTCGTTTTGAAGTATTGGGGGTATTTTGAATTCTTTAGAATGTAAGACAGTTTTCCGAATGATGCCTAGGCCAATCTTATTCTTCTCTTTATTTCTTCGGTCTGATTTTCTTTATTTAATTTAGTGATTTGGCCTAGATATATATATACTCTTTTACTTGTTCTATTTTTGTTTGTGTCACTGTAATTATAAGTTCTTCTGGTTGATTAGTCATGGTTTTTGTTTTACTATAATTCATCTTGGGTCCAATTTTTGTCGATTCTCTATCTTGTCTAGTCCAATTTTTTATATATGTTTTACAATAATGTCTTGTTCTCAATATTGTACATTTTAGAATCTTGGAAAAGGCAAGGATTACCTTTCATAACATTGATTGAAATGAAATAAGAAAATCTAGTTCCAAATCTAACATTACTTATTTAACTTAAACCCAAGAATTACTGATTTTATATTATATGTATTTATTGAGTTTTAATAGTTCATATACCTATATGGATAATTTGAATTATTAATTGGATTTTATGATATCTCAGAGTTTTTATTTGAGTTCAGAATACCTTTGTCTTTGTCTAGTGTTCAATAACAACAGAAGTAGAAGGAAATAAATCCAATTATAATTTTTTCAATACAATTAAATATAATGTTAAAACTTCTTGGAAAACGTTACACGAATAAATAAATGACTGCATAAAATTAACAATAGAAAGCCTTACAAATTAATTTTATTTTTTGTTTCGGTTCAAAACTTTAACCTTAACTGCAATATTGTTCTCAAAAAAAACCAGTTAACTTTCAATGCTTAAAAATTTCCCTGATATGCATTTATATAAAAAATTCTCTATTTCCGCTACTTCCTTCGTTCCTCTTACATGTAATCTAGATCAAACGTAATAACAATGCTTCCTACCTCTTTTGGCTGCCAAAAATATCATTGTCTATGATCCTTCCTATGAATATCAACTTATTCGTAACTTACAAATACTGCAATACTTAACTACTGCAACTTCTAACAATCAGCATTCATAGAGCAAAGCTGCTACCACTTTTTAAATTCCTACTCACAAATGAATTTACTTTTACACTGTTCCAAACTACCGGCACTAGATCACTTCTTAGGATTCGATGTTCTTTCTTCTACAGTCACCAACAGATAACTCTCGTTTCGGCTTCCAGCATCCATCAAACATCCAAAATCTCCTTCCACCCTGTCTTGCCAACCAATGATCTTTTAATTTTTCAAAAACACCCAGGCCTAAGTTCTCAAGAAATCAATATTTTTTTTTTTTTTTTTCGAAACCATTTGCACACCAGCTTTCAGAACAAACAACAACTTAAGCAAAAATATTAAGAACAACATGAGCGAAACGAAAAAGCACTTACGCAGTGGTTTAACAGATTTAAGATAACGAAATTGCTGTTTCCCTGTGTTATCAGTTTCATGTCCTGATGTTTTTTTGTTGTATACTATAAATATATTATGAACTATTATTGTACTTTCACTTCTTTGATTTAATTAGTATAAGTATAGTATGATTACTGCACTTTGAATGAGGAAACCCTTTAATAACTATTATTACAACTAACCTGAAACTGGCACCCATGTCCTAATCTTCTACTTGACAACCTAAGGAATACAATGATTCAAATCGAGGTTCGGTAAATGTTTTAGGTTATCTAAATGGTTTTTCCGATTATCTCAGGATACATTCATTAGCAATATGGAGGATATGTTTAAATTGATGTCTTTCATTTAGAACATACATCGACTTTGTGTGACATCTTTTTGTTTATTTTACTAAGATTATAGTATAATATGTACTTAGATATTATTAATTTTTAGGGTCTCTTTCATCCAGCAAGGAAAGTACGGGATGTCTATTGGAAGATCTACAACTCTTTATATATCGGCGGCCAGGATACACTCGTAGCAGGCTATCCAAGGATACTAAACGATCCAAAGAATCAGTACATTAGATATGAACTAGATTATGTGTTATAATTTGTGTAATGTATTGTTAGCGAGCGTGTTTGATGCTTAGTTTAAGGATTTTTATAGCATTATAATGCTTATTGTATGGAATTTATCATAGTGTAAATGCAAAATAAATGTTTTGAAATGTTTAAAAGTATTTTAAATTATTAATTTAAGTTTTATTTTTCAAAAAATGAGAAGCAGGAATTGAACTAATTGTTTTGAGGTTTTCGAGATGAACCTGTGTGTTTAGATTTTGTTTCAAAGGAAGTTTTAGAGTGAGGTATTACTTGCCATGTGATCCTTAAAATGGCGTCCATCCGCAATTTTTAATCATAACGTCCTAGCTACTGAACTCTACAGATTTAAGTTCAATTATGCGGAAGATATTTTTTTTTATTTAAATTTACGATATATCAGGAGCTTTGAAGCGTAAAGGCGAAATACAAAAACCACGTTTCGGGAAAACTGACTATAAAGTTTGAAAACATGTAAAGATTAGTAAGAGTCAATAAGTTTTATTTTATTAACAAAACTTAAAAGAAGATTTTGCAGTATTTGCCAGATTTTTATCAAATAAAAAGAAAATGGGTTTAATATTCTTTATTCTACAAAAATAAACATAGTTTTTTAACAGATTTCTATGGAAGCTATTGGTGGTGGAATAAGTGGCAAAATTTACAAATAAACTTCAATCAAACCCAATTTGATTTCCATTTTCTACAGTTTCTTCGACTTCGTTGTATCAATTTTATCACTGATAGCTTCTTGTAAAGCACGCTTGTGACGCATGATTATATAACCAAGAAGATCTTGTAAGTCCTTTTTATTTTCTTCGGTCAGCTTGAGAGCACCCTGGTATTTGAGAGGAAGTTCTACACTATCTAAGTTAAAATTTGTTACAACGTGAAGTCTCTTTCGCTCTTTTTGGAGTATGACATTCGTAGGAATATTCGTATATGCTATTTGAATTTTAAAGCTCATCTTAAAATCTTTTGAAAATTCGAATATTCTGCCATTCTGCTGACCTTAAAAAAACGTGCTTAATAAAATCAAAGCGGTTTGCATAAAGGTGGGATAAAACAAAGTTTATGTTCTTATTTTGCACCTCACTGTTATCACTAAAAATTATAACTTTTCTCACTTGCTGGTTAGCAAAGTTCTCCAAGTAGTTACTAAGTGGATTTCTAAGTTGTATGTCCATATTTCCTTTCGTAATATTGTACGTTGCAGGTACGTTTAGGCCTGGATAATGCCTTTTGTAAATCAACACATACATCTTCAATATTTTCATCCTGGTTGCTTTCCTCATATTTTGAGCAGCTTTCTGCTTTGATAAATGAACCCTCAGTTCTGTATCCAATTCAGTTATTCTGGGAGAATTCGGGTTGCTAGTCTTTAACCCATCAAGTTTAACTTTAATCTTAGAGCAGGTATCACAGGAAAATGACAAAGAGCAGGGAAATCACGGTATGGGTTATGGGCGATTTCAATGCAAAAGTCGGCAAGTGAAGAGCTAAAACGATAATGGGAGATCAAGGGAAACATTAAAAAAACTGCCACTTCGTTCCATGCAAAAAAGTATTAAAAGAACCGATAAGAAAGATGGACAACTGAATAACCGATGAAATACTCGGCAGGATAGACCAAAGAAGACAAGCCAAGAACAAAGGCAGTCACAGTTACAATATCATTAACAAGAAAAACATAAAGAGATAGAAGATCTTCAGAACAAATACGACCTATTCAACTACATAAAAATGTTAAAGAAATGGAAAAGTTGCAAAACAGAAACCACAACACAACTCTTTTAGAGAAAAATGGAAATACTATGATAACGAATGACAAAAAGCTAAAACGATAGAAAGAATATATGAAAGAGCTCTTCGACGACGAAAGAGGACACCTACAAGACATATCTTCAGATGACAGAGAAACAAGTATAGAAATTACAAAAAAATAAATATTGTATGCACTGAATAACACCACAAACGGAAAAAGCCCGGAGCCAGATCAATTGCCTATTGATATCCTTAAAATAATAGAAAATGAGTACATTGATGTCCTCTTAAAGCTCTTTATTGAAATTTATCAGTCGGGTGACATACCCAATGAATGGTTGCTACAGTTATTTGTGTCCCAAAAAAGAAAAATGCTAGAAAATGCACCGACCACCGCACCATAAGCCTGATGTATCACACGCTTAAAATTTTTTAAAGATTATCCTTACACAATTACCAAAAACTTGATATGAATATTAAAGAAAACCAATTTGGATTCCATAGAGGCATAGGTACCCGTGAAGCTCTCTTTGGATTCAACGTACTAATCCAAAGATGCTTGGATGTGAACCAAGATATGTACGTCTGTTTCATAAATTACAACAAGGCTTTCAATAAAGTCCGCTACAAAGAGCTAATGGACGTCCTCAAAGCAAAACAATTACAATACAATGACCTTTGAATTTAAACAAATCTATATTACAAACAGCAGGAACACATACGCAATAATGAACACACATCAGATGAGTTTGAAATTAAAAGGCGAGTGCGACAGGTGTGTGTATTGTCACCACTACTATTCAATGCACACTCTGAAGTATGCATTGAATCTGAGAAACGCCGGGAATAAAGGTCAATGGAATTAATAACATTAGATATGCGGACAATACTATTATAACAGCAGACAACCTCCAAAAGCTAACGAACAAGATAGTTGAGTATGGAGAAGACTATGGATTATCAATAAACATCAAGAAAACTAAATTTATGAGGATATTTATAAAGCCTGACAATTACCGGTAAAACTTTAGAACAAGTTGAAAACTACAATTATCTTGGCATAATAATTAATCACACACGATTACTCCAAAGAAATCAAAGTTCAAATAGAGAAAGCACGAACAAACTTTAAAATGAGAAAGGTACTTTGTACAAGAGCACTAAAATTAGACTTGAGAGTAAGGTTGGCAAAGCGTTATATTTTCTCGACTGCTTTTGGTCGTATATTGGAAGCATTTCAACTGTGGGTGTATAGAAGAATCCTGAAGATATCATTGACCGAGCATGCAAGAAACAACGAAGTCATGAGAAGAGTCAACAAAAAATGGAAATATTGGAAATCACCAAGACACGCAAGCTGCAATACCTGGGGCGTGTTATGCGTAATGAAAGATAGAACTTACTTCAATTAATTATACAAGGGAAAATCCAGGTCAAGAGAAGTGTAGGAAGAAGAAGCTCATGGTTGCGTAACTCGAGGGAATGGTACGTATGTACCTCAGTCGAACTATTCAGAGCAGTCGCATCTAAGATCAAAATAGCCATGATGATTGCCAACCTCCGCCGTAGAGATGGAACGTCAAGAATAGGAACGTATTACAGTTATCAATAGGAGGCTGAACACTTGTATTGAATTCTTTGACAAAGTTATTTCGATAGTAGGACTCTATAACAGGCTGTTGTTCAGGATAAGTGTTTTCAATGTAAGTTCCATATGCCCCAGCAATTGATAAACCCGGTGACTGGTGACATATATTTTCGAAAAGGATTTGTGGCTCTGTTTTAGTGACTGGAAAGGCTACCAAGCGTATGGAACCATTTTATTTCCTGAACTTGTCTTTTCTCTGTTATTACTCTGTTATTTTTATTAAATTTTAAATTCTTGATATTTTCATGCTTAACTTTTCAAAATACGTTTTACGACACTTACATGGCAGTCCGAATATTCACGCAAATGCAGTTTTCTTTGTATTTCTTGAAACGTACGCTTCACCACAGTTTCGTTTGGTTTTACACACCTTAACAAGCCATTGTTCCGTTTTCTTTTGCTTCCGTCTTTTTCTCGGCGTTCATTTTGAAAATGAATCAGAAAAACAAAACATAAACAACTTTAAGGCTAATGGAACGTCGGTTTTTACTTTGGAATACGACTAATAAAAATTACAAGCAGACGATCGTACCGAAAAACTCAGGAACAACATCTCAGACTGTCTCACCAACTACAGAAACACCGGCGCTTTAATACGGTTACAGAGGAGAATGGGCGAACCTTGAATTGAACGAAAACGCAACAAAAGCCTGTGGGTTCGCCCCTGCTCTTCTAGACGATTATGCAGCTCAGTTTCTGACATGAATGGATTGGTATATTATTTCTTACATAGTTTTAGGAGTATAAAGCTCGAAACATGCTGTTGAAGAGAAGAAAGATGAGATTCTTTTAGAAACGACCATTTGCGAGTTCGCCCTTACTCTTCCAAACTCCTGATATATACAAAAGTTTTAAATATCTTATATCAAATTATATAAGTTACAGTCTCTCAAAAAACGAATTAAAGAGTTCATTAAACCAGGTGAATTAAGTATAGCATTAAGGGTACCACCAATATTATGCTGTCGTCGGGTGGAACTGAAAGTACTGCATTCAAGTAGGACATGCTGAATGCCGATAGAAAGGCGTGTGTTGTTACAGCGTTCACAAACTAGAGGATTTTCAGAACTCATGAGGTAACCATGAATGAATCGAGTGTGGCCTATGTAGGATTAGGTTAAGCCCAAAATAGCATCTGTTAGCCGTGCAAATTCTGCGGTTTATCTCTATCGCGGTAGTATTATTTTCAGTGTTGGGGAGCACTCACAAGTATACAAATTCGTTCACTGCTTCGATGACGTCGATTTCTATAACAAGTTATTATACTTATTTTTATATACTTCGTTTTGTTGGTGTTTATTATTAAACCCATTTTTGTAGCTGATTCTACAACAATATTAATATTATCAGCATAGGGCAGGATTTGCACTGATTTATTCAGTGGTTGTGATTTGTGACATACGTATTATTTTTTCCAGGGCCATATTAAACAGTATCCAGTAGAGAGGGTATCCATGGCGCATTTACTCCATTAATCTTGCCAAATTTTCCAATACCGATTGCTTAAAGAGATATTTTAGGTCGTGATGGAGCTGTATCCTTCCGACTGGAAAATTGGTACAGTTAGCTTTTTTCGCTTGTTGATCCGCTTTTTCATTACCAGCGACACCTACATGCGAAGGGTCAGAAATTATGGAGACAAAAGTGCCCGAAGTTAATAGTTGATGACAGTGATTGTATACCTCATTGACTAGTGGGTGTTGTGAGTTTAGGGTTCTTAGTG